TCAGCAGCCAAAATAAACTGCAACAATATGTGGTATCTTTTCTCCATCAGGATTTTGCCAGTTTATCAGGTGAAAAAATGAAGCCTGGCATAGCTGATGGAGTCATGCTGGTTGCTTTCTGAAGAATATACCAGCCCTTTTATTGTCTTGCCATAATAACATTCTCAACACAAACTAAAGCCACATTAGGACATCTGAGGTCTTGAGATGCATGATTTTTAAAAATGCATGACAATCCAAAACACACAAAATATATTCACTCTCTTCTAACTTCATTTCCTGTAAGTGTTTATCATGAATGCCCAAAAATATTTCATTAGACCTGCAAAACGGTCAATTGGTATTCAGATACTCTTACAAAATCTTCTATAAAAAACAAAGAGGAAAAGCTTTTACTATGTTATGCTGTGACATTTGAACAAAAAATCAACTCAGAAAATGTAACTAGTCTCCTTGCTATTCAGCCTGAGCAAAGCTTGCAGAAGGAGCACAGTTCTTCAGCAGGGACTCCCATCTGAAGCTAAGACCATCGCTGTAGGAGAAAGCACACACATTACTTGTGTGTTAGTTAGAAGAAAAGTGCTTCAGACTATAAGAAAGGAAACAGCATCAGCAAAGGAGACAAGAGCTATGAGACACTGGAAGGAATCAAAAAGAAGAAGCACTAAAACGACTACACACCATGATCAACACAGTTGCCTTTTGCTGGGATGAGAGTATAACATTCTTTCCTACCTTTGCTGAATAATTTCATTGTGATCTATTTGCTGCTATTACATCTAAGTGCAAATTTTCACCAATGCTTTTGTGAAATTACAAAATAAAGACCTTGTTATACACTTGCCATTCGAACTGTAATGCTAAAGAATATTTTCAATACAACCAAATGCCAGAGAACAGTACTTTCAATAAAATCTAGCAATGCTCAAGGTATTCAATCAGAAACCTATGTAAAGTCAGTCTATGCTAACAATCTCCACCACTGATTCTTCCCAAAAATTTGATGCTTTTCCTCAAAGTGAATGGATAGATATATTGATGTGCTCTGTATTATGATAAATCTATTGGAAATGTGTTTCTTTTCTGACTTGCTTTCCAGGACAGTGCATATCCTGGGACAGAGGAGTTAGGATTTACCCACGCTGTTATGGACCCTACTCTGCTAGCAGGAAAGATGCTGGTATCCTAGACCCTATGGGATGCAATGCCTTCAGGAAATTTATATCAAATTATTATTGCATAATTTCAGGGTGTAATAAAGCCTCTTACACTGAACACAGGCATTGAGTTCCCTTTGCACTTTTGTGTCAGAGGAAGAACTGTCCTTGTCAACAGCAACTACAGGTCCCCGTATGAACCCGCAGGATCCCCTTGCTGTGCATGTGGAGTAAGTTGAAGATTTCTGAGGGCATCGCATGAAAACCTGGGTGAGGTTTGACATTGTCATAGTAATGGTGAGTTATAAAAATCCCTGAGGGGTTCATAGGGAAGGCCCAAAAGCCGAAAAGGTGGACCTCTTCACAGAGCTCCAGAGCAGCAGTCACCAGGATCAGGCCAGTGCTAATCCGCTTGGCCCGCACCCCTAGACCAAGCCAGTAGCGCGAGACGTTGATGAGATACTGGGGATGGAAGTAGTAAACAGCTTGCTGGGATTCAAAATCATCCAGGACGTATTTGACCCGGATCGAGACATCTGTGTTGCGGGTGTTGTAGAAAGCCGGCAGCAACACAGAAGCATTTTCATAGACCTGGAGCACGTCATAGAAAGGTTTCCTCCACTTCTCCAGCTTATGGAATCTAAAGGAAAAGGATGAAAAGGAGGATCAGACCAGCAGTAACTTCACTTTTGACCCAACAGACAAGAAACTTGAATTGGATTTGTACAGAAACGCTTCTGGTGTAGAGGTAATTGAAATTATGTTTCAGTTAAGAACAGGAATATACTTAGATTGATAAGTATCTAAAAGAAAGCATCAGCATGAAATGTAGGACAAAAATGAAGGAGAAGAAAAATATCTTCTCCCCTCCTTTTGTAGTACATTCACTGAATGCTGGACAAACCTTGTAGACATTTCTGGCCCTTTTTCATCTCTCATTTAATTATCAAAAGAATGCAACTTTTCCAAGGATGACCAGCTTTATTGTACACTTCACAGCGCAGACTGTATAAAAAAGTAGAAAACAACAAAGCTGAGCAAAACCTTCTGTAACATGTCCAACTGTAGAATTTAAAAAAAAAAAAAAAAAACTGCAACAGCCTGGAGCCTCCAAGTCTTGTAAACATCCAAAAAACTCCATGGTATTCAGGTATTAAAGATTTTTAAATGAAAATCATTCTGTCAATCCTAGCTACAAAAGTGAACTGACATTTTTAAAAACCTACAACCATGCGTTGTATTCAAACATTTAGGATAGCATCCAGTTTCCTTTCAAGGTACTGCATCTGAGTGGTTGATAATGGGGTTGTAGGCATACATAGGACTTCCAGGGGAAGGATGGCTCTGCTGGTGTGACTTCAGTTCATCAGCTTCCCACTTTACATTATTAATATACAGGTCTAACTGTTTAAGGCATTTCTATATTTCTTTGTTATTGATTTCTTATACTGAATATTTTCAATCCAGAAAAAAAAAGTATGATTAACAGTGTCAGTTTTGAGTAGCATTGAAAAAAAACCTTCTCTCTAAGAGTTAGAATTTAGTGAAAGGTAGATTTGGAAAAGTGAAAGGAGGTGAAAATACAAGAAACGGAGAGAAATGACCTTTCGGTAATTATACTGGGATTGACAGTCACGACATCTGTCTTCACCCCCACGTCTGTGATGTATTTCTCAGATATAGGAGGCAAATTGCACCTATAAAGAAAAGAATTAAGAAAGTTAAACAATTCCTTACACCTTTTCAGGTCTGTAGATTTGATTTAAGCATTTTTTTTTCAAGCTAGAAACAGTTTGTAGATTTGTAATTGTAGCAAAACACATTGATGCCCGAACTGGAGTATTAAAATAACACATTCTTAGGGACTGTTAGAAGACCACTGTTCTTCTCTGAATCAGTCAAAGCTGACCCCTTTTGCAGATATAGCCAATATTCACTCATTTTGCTTCCCTAAGAGCAATTCAACTATTTAATTGGGCAATTTAGTATTGGAAAGGTTGGGAAGAAACCCCGAGGACAATCAACCTGACCTTGCTCAGCCTCCACTCACCCACTGGCCCAGTCGCATCATTCTACAATATTTAGTGCATCTCTGGAGGGATGCTGAAGTTATCGAAACACACTAAAACACACACAAATCTATTACCCAAGCTCCACTTCCAGGGAAAACATGGATTTAAAAAAAAAAAAATCTCCAGCATGCACCATCAGCAGAAGAACAAGCAATGGCTAATGTTAGATTTCAACTGAAATTTCCCAAATCTTTTGAAGTGCTCCTAAAAGCCATCACTGCTTGAATTGCACATCTCAAAAATACTACCTTGTCTAATTCCCAAACATCTCATTACTTCTCATCTACAACTCTTGAGAGCCATAAAGACACTAAAGAGGTGCTCAGTGTTTTCAAAATATTAAAGTTTGGCTCTCAGCCCTTAAAATACAATTCCTCTATCAAGAAGAGGAGGGGAGCGGATGAAGGCATAAAAGTCCTTCAGCATCTTCTCGGACTCAGGAGATTCACATCACATCACACAGGAGCTCCTAAAGAGTCTCTCTCTATCAGATCAGATATATATTTTTAAATTTGTCCTTCTCAAGGACAAAGTTATTTCCAGCATTTTTCTCTGCTAGTTCATTCAATGACTTTTCACGGTCCTCAGTCATACCTAGCACCAAGCATTGAATTCATCAGGTTACATTCAAAAAGGTTTTCAAATACTCAGCACCAATAGTGGCTAAACACTCATGACAGGATTAAGAAGGGTAAATTCACTGAAAGTGACAATTTACTATAAACATTATACAGTCTGCGTAAACTGTATTTTCGTTTAGTATTAAAAACAAACAAAAAAAAAAAAACATGTTTTTTATATCCACGAGAGTAGTTTTGCCTCCAAATGTACCCAAAGTTTCATCATAAATTTCCACTCTGGCCAGTAGATGGAGATAGACAATAACGACTAGGAAATTATATTTATGTGTATGCATTTTATATATTCTATTGCAATATAATTAATTGCTCTCACAAATTGTTTTACAGAAAAAATCTTGGTTCCATCCTGCTAGCCACAAGCTTCCTGCCAATATTAAAAGGCTTACACAAGCATCCATGAATTCAGTTGTGCTCCACAGTTAGTTGCCAACAAAATGACTCTTTAAAATACTTTAAAAACAAGACGGTGCTTTCCAACAGTTTGTCACATCCAGGTGTGTCAAAATGTACCTTTCATTTCAACTACACTAATAGTTATGATTCAGCATAGTAGAAATGAATCTACTGTAATTATTTAATGTATATAGTTTATACTAGGCTTTTAAACGGAAGTAAATTATGTCATCTGGACTGTGCTACAGATTAAAATTAGGACACTAGCTTTATATAAAGATGACCCTAGAGGCAAACACAAGGGCTCTGAAAATATTAATAGTGAAGGTAGGACCTATAAAATATTTCTCATTTGATGCCAAATTAAATTACTAAGGCGATGAGCCAAAATCTGACCTATTTTTTCTAGTATGAAATCAGAGAAATTCATTGATCTATGTATAGTTACTCTAGACTTACAGCAATGTACCTAAGGTCAGAAAATGGACCAACAGAGGTAAAAGGATTTTCATTTTTTACAAAAAACATCATGAACCTGTGAGTTAGCTGTCATATGCCATAACCCAGGCAAAGAGCTTAACAGGTTTCAGAGAAGAATTAGACATGCAATTAAATAATAACATCTTTCCTTTATATATTAAGGATGATAAAACTCCATCATCTGGCGACACAAGCTGGACATCCCAGACAACACAAAACCTGGATGATACCAGATATGATGGGAAGAGCTGCAGAAAGACACCCAGCCTTCAAATGCACTTGGGTATCTCTCAATACCCTGGAGTCTACAGGACTGAGTGGCAGTACTGAGCTGGCTTTTTGTAGCCACATTCCTCCTTATCTGAGCTAATTAACCTTACTGGACAGGAAAAGTATAACATAGAGGCACCATCTTCAACCTTCTAGCTTTTTTTGATCCATGTTGCTCCTAATCTTGGGTTTCTGTGGCCAGATGGTGCTGAACGTGATTTAGTAAATAATCTGTGACTTGTGCTATGCAACCAAAGTGACAGCACAGTTTCAGAAATACAGGTCCGAGGCACATGCGTTGCACTAGAACCAAGTTATTATGTTCTGGCCAAGCTGTGTACCACACAAAAGAGGAGAAAAAATCCCTGGGAAAATATAGCCATGTTCACATGGGGCTGCTTCTGGGCTAATGTCCATGGAACAATAAATCCACAACCTGAATAACAGGAAAGGCTGAACAAGGATATTAAACTTTGCAAAGTAAGTTAGTGATTAACCAAGTGGAGCTAGGGATAAATAAGCCTCCAAAGCATCATTTTTAAAAACATATTCCACAGTGGGGTGCTTTTTTTTTTGAAACATTGCATTTTGCACAAGAAGCAATCAGTTTGGTCAAATCCCATATTTCCATGTGAGGGAGAACAGCTTTGCAATCCTTTATTCATGATTAAAATAGTCAAAAGAAAAGGTGCTACAGTAATTACCGAAACACGAAGTCTGTGCTGTCAATCTCCCGGCCACATCTGCTGTTCTTCAGAATTCCTCCGTTCCCAACCACCGCACACTTCTTGAACTGGGAGCGGTGGTACGGCATATCCTGCAAGGAAACAGTCAGTCTCCTGAAAGACAGAGGCAACAAGTAGTTGTTTCCCCCCTCCCTTTTACTTTATATTTTTGTGTGTGTATGTGTGCAACTGCATCTTGGAGAAAAATCTTGCATTTGCAATAGGAAATATTATTAGGAAATAGGAAATACATTGCAATATAGGAAGCTGACACTCATTCTGGCATGCAGTACTCCCATGGTGTACATGAACTGATGGGCTCATTTTCATTGCAATTAGAGATGGGCTATGGGCAACTAATTCGAAAGGAAAAAGCAATGACCTGTTTCTGTCCAGATTTATTAATAGAAGAAGCAGTTTTAGAGGCTAGCTTTCCCTTCAGGCTTCCACATGGGGGCATAAGCCATAAAATTAGTGTACCCCAAGTGTAGCTTTCTGAGCAGCCCACAAGCTGCTCACTTCTCAGGCTGATGTCCTGCTTCTGAGAAGCCTGCACACAGTCCCCGAACAGCTTGCAGAACCTGTGGGAAACTGAGAAACCGTGAGAAACTGTGGGAAGCTGTGGGAACGGTGAAAGTTAGGAGTGAGAAACTGTGAAAGTTAGGAATAACAGATCAACAGATAGAGAAACCTAAAACACAGGCTGGACGCACCGATCTCTGGTTGGTTACCTGTTGTCCGTTAGCAGGATTGGACATAGATAGCAATAGAGTCAAGGAATTGGCTGGAGGCAGGGGGAGGGAGCACGTGGACAGCGCATGGACAGTGTATGCTCACATACTCGGAGAATATATAAGTTTGGTCTGATGCTCAATAAAATGGCTTCTGGTCCTAAACCTTAAGCCCCTGCTCCTTTCGATGACTCCCACAAATGGCGCCCGAACAGGGACCGAGATAGGCGACGGGGAAGATCATGAGGTGGGGAAAACTCGACAGGATGGACGAAGGACAAATATATAAGTTTGGTCTGATGCTCAATAAAATGGCTTCTGGTCCTAAACCTTAAGCCCCTGCTCCTTTCGATGACTCCCACAAATGGCGCCCGAACAGGGACCGAGATAGGTGAACGGGGAAGATCGTGAGGTGGAGAAAACTCGACAGGACGGATGAAGGACAACATCTACGCGGCTGCAACTGATGAACAGTAATGAAGCTCTGAACCACGGGGGAGCGCAAGCCTTGGAAGCGCCAGCACTCGGGAATTGCGGGCCTTGGAAGCTCTGACACGGGGGAGTGCGAGCCTCGGAAGCTCCGGCACTGGGAATTGAGGGCCTTGGGAGCTCTGGCGCGGTGAGAGTGCGAGCCTCGGAAGCTCTGGCACTGGGACGTGAGAGCCCAGCTGTCGAGGACGATGCGGGGATCCATGACAAAGGAGCAGGAAAAGTTGCTGCAGACTGTGCAGCATGTTTTAGATAGGTCCGGGAGAGGTCAGGATATCCAAACTGGGGATTTGATTTGTCTTTTAAAATGGGGATTA